TTTAATTGTGGGTTATATCATTGTCAGAGCCCTTTACACTACAATACAACCGTTTAATTCTATTTATATTAAATCATTTTCCAATTTGTTTCCTGAATCATCAAATAGTCAACGTAAATTCTTAATAAAAGATCATTTTTATACTTTACAATACTAGTATATCTTAACATTTGGCTGTCCCAATTTTTTCGAACTCGGGATTTTAGTTTAGGCGGCTCGTTAATTCATTTTACTTTCCTACTCAATGCATATATGCGTAAACGGGACTCATAGATCATTTACATCGAAATTCAAAGAGACTTATTATGTCAACGGATTTTTTATTTGAGCGTAGTAGCCCTTGGAGAATTATCCTTTAGTCCTGAAACGCATGCTGAGTAAATGTCTCACGTGATAGAAATTATTTACACTAAGCTTCAAAGTAGGATCGTTCAGCTTATTAAGTGGTTTGCTCACCCTTATATAGGTTTACATAATTTTATGTTGAAAAATTGTTCGCCTTTTTGCACTGCTTATTCAAACTGGAAAATCGGCTTTGAAAGATAATAAAAATGCTTTACTATTAGTAAAGACTGCTAAAAGCTGGCTTAAAATTAGAGCTATATTTACATGAAAGAGTAAGCATCGATAGATAGACTAGCGATTTAAATTAAATCATAACTTCAAAAAGGCTGAGGTGGATCAGTGTAGGCTAAAAGAACATAAATACTAGGTTTTATTTGGCATTGATGTCCGCCATTCTTTTCAGCAGAGTTTTTGTGATGACACGAGAAATTATGGACAAGAGCTCAACAACAATTCCTCGGAACCACAGGACAATATTTTTTCATATACGCAAGCTAGTTATGACAGGCAGAAAGGGCATGTCCTGATAGCAAGTTTCCTTGTTGTTTTGATATGCCAATATGAAAATCCGCCTGGTTTAAAGCATGTACCATACTCTGATAGTGAGCTTTTTGCTTAATTTGTTTTAGATCACGGCCGCGTATAAATATGCTAACTTGGGGACCGCCACATATGAAAAGCCATCTTTATCGAGGATGATTTGGTTGATTTTCGTCAAAATACATTTTGTATGCAGTAATTTATATCTTGTTTTTAGATCTTGCCGAATTTTTGTTTTCTTGCCTGCCCATCAAATTCGCATCATATTTTGTAGCTCTGTGCAGTTCGCTCATTTTACTGCTTCAGCTTAATAATTTTTTGTGGTTAATTATGCTATTTATCCATAATTGAGTCATTTACTCCATAGTCGCCTTCTAGCCTGACGTTACTGTAGCCCCATTTGAACTTTTATTCATATACTTTCTCTCGCCTGTCATTTTTCCTCTTTAATCTATCAGCAACCAGATATCGGTCCCGGAGGTGAGCCAACTACACTCTACCCAGTATTCCGACTAAAATTAGACGAGCTCTTTATCCGTTGGTTCACGGATACTATCACTCAGCGCAACCTCCATAATCTACTTAAGGAACTTCAATGTGCTGATGACCCAGCCACAATTCCAATTCCCTCTGGTTTTCTCAATAGTTACAATACCGACGGCAGTGTTGAGACTGATTTTCTTGATGGAGTCGTTGGTCCCATGGTTGCCTCTGCATATGCTGCTTTTGGTGGTGCTGCCGTCTGGGACGAGGCAAACGCTAGCCGGCTGCCTGGTTTGCACCACTCTAACGTCTCATCAATGACTGGAGGTGCCTACCATCATACCGGAGTTGATCAGGGCGTTCAACGTGTCTGGGGCCTGGAATCAGGACTCAGTGGAGCAGGCGTGGCTAGTGGGTCATTGGCTTCTCCTCGACCCAGTACTCCGCCCCACTTTCCCCAGCCTCCGCATCACCATAATTTACACCACCAACAACAACAGCAAACTCAACACCAGCATTCCAGCAAACTTTTCGGGCTCCGATCACCTAGAAAAATTGTCAGTGCACTGAACGGTCTTGCTCAAGCGAAAGGAGTGGTCAATGTCTCTGTCAGATCTGGCCAACCCGTCACCCCAGTAGTCACTGCTGCAGGGACTGTTATGATGATATCGAAGCCTAAAGTAAACATGATTTTTTTTATGCATTTGATTTATATATGACATTTGAGTTTATTAATTATGCATTATGTCGTGATACATATTTTGAATTGCACCTATTGAGTCAACCAACGCATCGATGGACACATTTCTATACATTAAGCTGCTTCGATATATTTATGCATTTTACATTTTTTGCATATCGTTAACCATACATTGACCTTTGTTTCTAAATTTATAATACATTTACGTCCATTGTCTATATAACTAGGTTCCTTATATGTTATTGTTTGGCCGACTTTAATTTCGTTTGATGGCGTGGGAAAGAATTTCGTTGGCAGATTTCATCATAAGATGACAGCTAATTTCATAGATGGAAGTTAGTTCAAAAATGTTTGCCTAGACTGGATTATCCAATTATATTGAGAAGTCTTGACTTAAATTGATTTCATCCTCCCCAACTTCACAAAGGCGTTAGTCTATAGATAGTACTGTAGCTTCAACCTTGGTTGAGCTTGACCAGCCCTATTACAATAATCTTCAATTATTACAATAAACAATCAACTTCAGATTCCTATAAGCTTATCTGAGATTTTCTGACTTGAATTTATCTGTGTAAATCTTGTCTATATGTCTCAAATGATAACTGATCTCCCTTTATCTTTATGAGCCCAGTGTGCAAGTATTTTTATTGCAATCAACACAGCATATCTTATCTCCATTTCTTTGGGATTTCGTGATTTATAGCGGAGAGATAATCTGTATAAATTTGTTTTCATTAACTTCAGGGTTACAACTAGCCGAATCTTTTAGAATCCAAAATTGTTTTATTACTAATTTTTCCAGATGACCTGTTACCTGATTGTTCATCTTTAATCGATCCCAGTTTTTTAACCTCTTCCATGCTGAATTATTTGACTGAAGCTAACATTCCAAGGCATGCAAATCTTTCTATAACTTTGGTATTTTGATTTTCACGAAGTCCTGCTTGCGAAATCGAGATTTTTGTCAGGTTTTATTTTGGTGTTTAATTATATGGTGAGGCATACCCATATCATCGTGGTAAAATGCATTATCAGTCCTTCAGCACCTTATGCGACCTAAGGTGACTACTGTTCTTATTTAGGTCACTTTGCTTAATACAACTCATTTGGGCCTATAATATAATAGTAAATGCGAAGTTTTAAATTCATGTTCCCTATCTAGACCATAATACTAGGTGAATCTATGACTTAAATTGCGCGTCGCTACAAATTTTACCCTAATGCGACCTAATTTCTTCATTATTTATCATCAATATCTACTTATACTACTAATGGCAAGAGGCTTTGTGGGGTGCATTTGGATATTATATGGTTTAATGCTAGTTCCCTGTCATTTTGCTTTTCGTTGCAGGGCTTGGTTGAATGTCCTCAATCAGATCGTGAACTCGGCATCACATCTATATTGTATTTGTATAATATTTGCTGAGTTTAAGTATACTACTAACAGTAGATCATTCATTTATTCATTTTATATCTTATTCAGTTTGATTCTCCATTTTAGTGATCCTGCACATTGAATACTAGTGTTATCATAAGCAGTTATGTTCAGGAATCTTTAATCCTTGATACATAATCTAGACTGGCTCCTACGACAGTTGCAAAATAAAATGTACTGATTTTAAAATATTTTCTTTTAGTCAGCTTAACTAGAATTTAAACAGGTTTTTGCTCATTCTTTGTAAACTGAAGGAATGTACGATATCTTTCAAATAACATACACATCATACTTATTTACTTATGAAGTAAAGTTACTTAATATATTCAAAAGCCGTACCTTGACGAGGGATTACTAATTGGCTTAGTCAACCACGTGACCCCTTTTTATCACAAAGTCAATAAATGCCTCTCCCAACAGGCATTTTATTTTCTTAGTTATGATTCGACCTTGTTTTCTCAACTTGGTCGTAGAGTCAGGTAGACC